CATTTGGCCGGCCATGTTAGAAAATTCGCCGTTCATGGTCGGGTTTTGGAAGGGATAGTTGAGCATCTGATTGTCATCAGCGCCGAACTCCATCATGGACATCCTCCTGTCGGCGCCGGCGTTTTGGGTGTTCTGGTTTGAGGGCATGTATGGTTGGTGTATGCTGCGGCGCCGTTGCAGTTCATGGTTGTTACTGTTGATAATGTCGTCGAGCGAGTCGCCGTTGCCACCCATCATTGACATGCCATGACCTTGGTTCATTTGGTGGTAGCCGTGGCCGCCTCCTTGGCCTTGGCTCTGCATCTGGCGTTGCTGAGACTGTTGCGACATCTGTCGCTGCAGCTCTTGGGGAGTGAGCTGCGGGTAGAAGGCCTCCATGGCGATCGCATCGGTGTCCCAAGGACCTTGTCGTTGATGGTGGGCCAGTCGTCGTGTCGTCTCGTATCGGTCGATAGTGGTGGTGGGGTGCAAGAAGTCGTCGAGTGTTGTCGAGTCGCAACCAGTGGGTGGTTCGTTCAGCCGTCCAACTTGTACTTTTCTCTCCCGAGGCGCCGGCTTAAATAGTGCCACCGGTGCATACGGTCGGGGGTGCGATATCGCGTCACAATCCTCGTCCTCCTGTCATGGACCAGTACACGTATTGTAGGAGTTGTGAGGGGGAGGCCGTCGTGTGCTGCGGGAAAAGCAGGTTAGGGTGCCGGCAATTGAACGTCGGCCAGATGAGTATCGGTGGCCGGGTTTTCGGGGTTGGTGACAAGCGGGATAATGGCGTCGAGCGCGGTGGTCACTTGGTTTTGGCGAGGCAGAACTGCGGTATGCTGTGCGTTGGCGGAGAATGTCGTCGTGGGGTTGTTGATGTCGAGTCTTGTTGTGTCGAAGAATTGGGCGTCGGTGGATTCGGAGGCCGAAGGTGGTGGGAGCAGACGTGAGAAACAGTCGTGGGAGGACCCAGATTGGCTTTGTTGCGGGGAGGGAAGATGGAGTTTGATGGACGTTCTCGGTGGTTGATTCCAGTGTGCCCAGTCACCCACCGGGCAGTTTACAGAACGCAGTACGCAGTAAGTAACTATGTAACTATGTAACTATGTACTCCGTACCTTACGTAGTGGTGGGCGGACAGGCGAAGGGGGGAAGCGACGTGATTGGGGGCGGCATGGCATCAGGGCCCACGGCTCGGCGGCTGATGTATAGACATGTTCCTCTTGGAGCGAAGGAAGCTTGATCGGTACCTAATTACGTCCGAGAGATACTTGGCTTTACCTTGCCATCCACTTACCTTACCTTGGACGTGGACGGGCAGCATTAAGGGCGAAAGAGCGGACAGTCACGGTCGCTTCCATCATTTGAGAGCCCGGTGCGCTGGAGTGGACCGGGGATGCTGGGTGCCACTGCCTATTCCCTTGCGGGTACTTCCCAGGTTGGGTCAACATTGGAAAGACTCGGCGCGTTTGGGTAGCGACGGACTGGGACTGGGACTGGGACGGGGACGGGGAGGAAACGAGACGAGAGGTCCCTGGCACCTGGGAGTCGTCTACCTTACCACCCTTTCTTCAATAGTGCCCGTGCTGATCCGGCATGTTTTGGCGGCGGGAGGTTGCCTGCCCTGCGCCATATACACAGTAAGTGCCTACTATGTTATATGCCTATTCCTGAATCCTCTGTGAGTCTGTGTCTGTGACTGAGGTGTCGCCCACCGCCGGAGGAAGACCACCGAGACAGGGCATGCCGGCCTTGGGATCTTCGGCATGGCACATCGTTTCTACTGTAAGGTTGTACGACTCCAGGCCCCGTTCTCTGTCCTTCTCCTCGGTTCTTGGCTTTCACCGTATCCGTACTACGGTACTACCTTGGTTTCACCGGGCACGTGATGGCGATGGGCCATCATGCTCTAGACAGGCTCGACCGCGTGAAAATGATCCGGTTGATTCTATACAATTGCAATAGTTTAAGCAGCCTTTTATGCGAGAAATCAATCAACACGGCATGAGGTGAATGGCTGTTACGGAGAACTGCCCTACCCGGAAGTTTGGAGCCACCAGAAGCCAGAGGAGAAGAAGAAGGCCCAGATAATCCCATAACAGGAATGATGTGCCGAGCGATATGCCCTATGTGAGTGAGTCCGGAACAGAGCCGGTGGGAGAGATTTAACACGCATGGATTGCGCATATGGCAGCACCATGCTGGGTGAAGTCAGAGACTGTCTGAAGTTTGAAGACTGCGGCTAGCTGAGGTGGGTGGTGAAGACGAATTGAATGGAAATAGGCCGGTCAAGAAGCTGCGATCCGCCGTGGATCTGTGGTGTTCCGATTTCTCGGCCGTGGCAGAGTCGGGTGGAATGTTGAAGATGCTGCCCGTGGCTGACGGGACGCGGGTAGGTGTCCGTACCTTAGTTTTGGTGCATGGCATGCAGCATCTCGTGGGAACAGGGCATCCATCCCCCATGGCCCCCAAGGCTTCTCCCAAGAGTCCCCAACACTCAAGAGGTGCGTCTGAAGAATGCCAGCAGCAAATGGAATGCTAAGTAAGGTACCTTATGCGCCCGCCATGCCACAGGATAACGCCAATCGTGCTCGAGAGAAACCTCTTTCGTCATCATATGGGGCGTGCTGGGCGTCACTACGCGTACTATACATCATCTTATATCCAGGTCTGGACCAATGTGTAGGTTGTATGGAAGTACCTCTCGGGTGGAGAGGGAGGACCCCACCCTTGCATCCAGGCTGGACGCTGAATGGAGGGAGAGGCGATAGAAGGAGGATACGTACTGTGTACCTGTCTTGATTCCATGTTCCTCCAACCAATCAACGGGCCGCCACACTTTCCCATGTTTTCCATGATTCCGACAGATGAGCATTACTTAGGTTGTCCCATCCAACCTTGCCAACTTGCATCTACTGCGTACACAGCATATCGGCTTGTTGAATCCCTACGTTACTTTGTTACTTCTATCCCTAAAGTGCCTTACAACCACATGTTATCTGACCCAACTTCAACAGGTGCCTAGGCCACCATCTTCCAGATACTGAAAACGGCACTCAACGTACGCAGCAGCATAGGAACAGGGATGGGCCTGCGAGCGGGACAAGCACGGACAGAGTTGACTTTTCCCCAGCAGAAATCCATTTCGTCATTTCTCCTGGGGCCTTACCGCCTTGGACAGCCTTACATTGTACCGACACTCACATACACACACTCACACACACACACTCACACACACACACACACACACACACATACCCGGGATACCAGACCAACCCAAACAGCTGCGGCACCAACTCCCACTGAAAGTCTCCCACCCCCTTGACACCCTTGACTCCTGACGTGCTCACAACCAACACTTCCGCACCGCATTCCTACACTGCCTATTTACGGTATCACAAAAGTAACAAACATCAATTGCGCCCAAGCTCGAGCAGCAAAACGAACCGTTGGTCACCATCCCATCTTTCTCTTCCGCCAACTACGGCACCACTTGCTGCAGTAGGTAGCTCAGCAGGAAACCCATCATGTGAGGAGAGAGCTTGAGCAAAGTGCATTCCCCATTTCACCTCCCCTAGCGTAGGTAGAGAGACTGCACACCTGGGCACCACGGCACCTAGGGTTTCTCCCATTCTCCATTTCCAAATATGCATCGACACCGTCTCCTATCCATCCACTTTCGATTTCCCATGTCATCGGCGATCGATCCTCTCTGGCACTCTGCCACGCGCCCTCGATCTCTCCCTATCCATCTTCGTACTCCATACACGGCTTTTTGAAAAAACCCTTTCGCTGAGACTGGAAAGAAACCCTGGCATAGCCTGGCAGGCCTTGGGGCAGCGGCCCGAACTCGGGTTAACCACGAACATACTGCAGCCAATGCCACCACCCGCCCGCTCGTCTCACACATAAAAAACCTTCGTGATGCTTATTCACGATCTACCCGTCCTGCCCTCCGCCGTAAAGATCGCTGACAAGGCCCCTGACTCGGCGGCAGCCACTTTGGCCAGCCAGCAAGCCAGCCAGTCCCCTCGGCAGCAGCCTCGTTCTAACCCCAAAGCTGAGATAGATGCCCCAAGCTCTCTGCCTACCTACCTAACCTTACGCCCTTACGCAGTACCTAGCTAGTTCTGCCTCTTTCCTGACTGAACCTGTCCTGCCGTGCCTGCCCGCGTCTCGGCGCCACATGAGACCTCAGCCGACCGCCACAAGCACCACACTCAACAGCGCACCTGTGGTCTGCCATGTGACTCTCGCCCACCAGATACCCCCAAAAGCAGTAAAGATCAGCAAAAGAATGGCATACCTCAATGATTTACTTTGTATGTTGCGAGTTCTGTTGGAAGTGACATCCGCCAATCTGAAGCGCTTCTCATCACCATTCATATACCCATGTTCCGTCGCGTGAACCAAGCCATGCTGCGCCCACGAGCTTGAACCCTCTCCCGGGTATTGGAGGAGTAGACAGAGCAATCACCTTTCAGGCAGCCCAAGCCCGACGTCGTAAACGGATGCGAATCCGACAGTTCCTTCTCCTTGCAGCGAGCGGAGGCACGCGCACTTAAAGATAACGTAACGGGCATGCATCACTAGCATCTCCCCTCGCTCCGTCTTTGAACACCAACCGTGAACCTGACGTGTCCCTACATATGCCCTCTGGTTAGCAGACCACAGCTTGAAACCAAAGTGCGCTTTCCGACGGGGGTTGACGAAAAGCTCGGGAAACGACAATGCAAGAGAACCGTTAACGAGCAACACAAGAGCACCTCGCACAACAGTGAATCATTAGTAGAGACCCGCAGGCCGGGTATGATCAGAATGTACCTAGTCATCTTTAGAAATCGAAAGCTCGGCGGCGTGCGTGATGCGTGTCTTTGTGTCTCTGTACGACGACGACGACGACGACGACGACGAAGGAAGCAAGCAATCTCCCGAGTAACAGTGCCACACAGATCCCCGTACCCAGCATGGCATTCTCACAATCGATGCAGAAGAGAAGAAAGAACGCGGTAACACCAGAATTACGCTTTCCCCCTTCGTGTGCCCCTCCTCCGCCTCCCCGCCATCCCCAACGATGGGAGTACGAAGAGGAAGAAGAAGAAAAGCAACGACCTTATCCGACTCCCGGTCCGACTTGACCTCGAACTTCCGAGATAGCAAGACCTGTCAAACATCTCACTAACGAACCGGGCCAACCGAGCTAATACGTAGCCAAGTAAGAAGAGGAGTCTTCCCGGTGGCTTTCTCTACCACCTATGTGTATCTAAAGTGTATGTCAAGTGAGGTCCAGGGTGTAAGTCTGAACCACCACCCACCCCGCCATATCCGATTTCCCATGCCATTCGGTCCAGTAAGGAGGGGTGGCGAACAGACATGGCAATCCCATTTGCCCATGTGCAATTTTCCATTACCTGCCTTTTTTCTCCTTCTTTCTCGCTGAAGGATGTCATCAGGTATCCAATCAGCTTTGTCAGTCCTGTGGCTCTTCAAGCAAACATCGTAACCCACCAGTAAACCTGCCACTGAACAAAAACGTCAAAAAAATAAAAACATACAACACCAGGTATTCGCTGATCGTCACCGACTCAACTACTAATCTGGCCCTCATCGGCTTGTCTATGGGAGAGCGGACGGGATCCCGAATTCTCCGATGGGTGTGGTCGTATGTGCTTGTTCCCAGGTAGAAATTCTATTATATCGGACGTGAACGAGGGGAAGGGGGGGCGTACCTTTGACCCCGGGACAGGATAATGATCAGAATACCGAGGAAGAGTTGAATAGAAAGACAAGTCTAAAAGGCTGGCAACGCAGAGCAGAGTGACTCACTCAAGCTTCGTCCGTAAACTCCCCAAAAAATGGTTCGATACGCCCCCCCATCTCAGCTACCCCAAGCCCAGCACGTAAAAGACGCCATTCATTCCATACCCACGTTCCAACTTGAGCTTCCTAGCTCCAGCTTTCGGCTCCAGCCTCAAAAGAATATGGCCGAGATAGTAGGAGTAAGACCGTTCAGTATCGTATACAGACTACCAACCTGCCTAGACTAAGAAGCTGAAGCTGAGACCCCTCCAAACCAAGTACGCCACCCAAGGCGTTTGGGCGTCAGGCGTTGCCGCTACTTTTCTTTCGAGATTGCCATTTCCGGTGCTCAGCTCGTTCAGCCTACTTCGGACTTTTCTTTACCAACGCCAGTGTACTGGGTCTGATAGGCATGGTTGGGAAGGCGAACAGATCACGGGTGCCAAGGAGGGACATCTCTTTCGTCGAACCCCATCGTCTTTCGTTTCTAACGTCACTCCGCCGTTCCTTCCCGGTGATACCTCACGGTGAAGTAAACACTAACACCTGCTCGTTCAGGTTGACGCGTGTTCGTCCTTTTCGAGTCATGTTTCCAGTCATTGGGCATATCTCATCTGCGTGAATTTCTATTCGTAAAACAACCACTCCTCTCTATATCATCGTATTGCCATCACTTATGGCGCCGCTGAAGAGGGGATCGCTTAATGATAAAACGAGGGTTCAGTAGAACTAAACCCCCTGACAATAATGTCCTCCCCTCGCTGTTTGCTCTGTTTTTGCCACCGATATCGCCCTACGCCGGAACTTGGCTCCGAGTCTGCTTCAGCAGCTATCCAAGCCCAGCGCTGTTTCTCGTGCCTCATAGACCCTCCCTTAACCGTTCGGTGCTTGTGGTATCATCAACTGCTTCTCTTCTAGTACAGCGGCCCGCGGCGTCCTCAGCGCGTCTTCTTCGTTACGGGTGTGTGCAACACGTCATCCCAGAATTTCCTGCGCAAACTCATCTCCTAAGAAAAGTACGAGGTGATCGCTCTTTGAGATTCGGGCGAGAATTGCTGAAGCAGCGGCGTGGGGTCCACACCTGCCTGGGACAGAAGAGACTTGATGGCGGATACTACGCGGCTTGCAGTCTGTCCTGCCAGAGAGTCTGCCTCCAGAGCCTGTGCAGTGAGCACAAAGATCTTGCCAGCCTGGCCAACGACAGCCGGATGTTGCCTGAATTCACAAATTAGTATCAGTCATAGTTGACTACTCACGTCTTGGAGATTTACTCACTTGTCAATCAATTCTGCCAGGTAGGCGTAGGCGTAGGGTGCGGCCTCCTCGTCATTTGTGACGGGAAGAGTCTCGATCCACTGAGCCACAATGTTATTGGGGTCCTGAACTGAGCCGGCGTTGAAGTGAAGAATCTTGGCAATGGCAGCACAAGCATTCTCCGTTGCGTAGACGTTGTCCTCACTCCGCGCCTCGGGAACCTGCGTCACTTGGAACAGGAAAGGCAGGGCGCCTCCCAGGAATTGAGCCCAAGGAAGACCGCCGCGGTGGGCTGCCACACCAATGCCGTAGGCCGCGGCCTGGCGGATGGCGGGCGATGAGTCCCTGCAACCATCAACCAGGGGCTGGGTGATGAGGTTGGCGTACTTTTGGCTTTCGGTGCCGCAGTACTCCAGCACATCGTCCATGATGCAGAGACCCCATTGGCGCTGGGTAGGGTCTTCCGACTTGAGGAAGCCCTCGTACGTGGGAAGCAGGCGCTCCCATGATGGGAGGAAGGCGGCACCGTGGTTCTTGAAGATGGCGTGGAAGGCCTTGTTCATATCAGACAGGAGGGTCTGGTCATCTTCGATAGCCAACAAAACGTCCTCGGCTTCGTCTTCTGCATCCTCAGCCGGGAGGCCCTCCTTGTCCTCAAGACGCTGGGCAACACGGTCCTTGTAGTCTTCGATGGCAGAGTGGACTGAGTCAATGAAGCGAGATAGGTGATCGGCGGTGAGGCACTCCTTGCCAACGACTTCGACAGACTCGTAGAAGCACTGGTACATCTCGGCAAGAGTATCAATCGCAGGTTCCGCGGTCAACACCTCGAGAAGCTTATCGACAGTCGCAGCCCAGAGCCCGGCGAGCTCATTTGATGGGCTACCGTACGTCTTCTTGTAGGAGCTCAGAAGCTGAGGCACCAACTTGGCCGAGATGAATCTGACGGGGTCGTGGAAGAAGAAGGCCAGACCAGGCAGGGCAATCTTCTCCATGATCTCGGCCACGTAAGGGGCGAAGCTTCCCTCGAGTACCTGAGCGTACACAACAAGCAGCTCAATGGCCATGTTCTTGTCCTCCATCGTGCTAGTCCGGATTCCAATCATCTTGCCCTTGAGGGGGACGAGTTCCCAACCATCCTCCTGCTGAATCTGCTCGACCTGGTCGTCGTCATCCAGGAGCTGAATGTCGGCCTTGGCGCTGGCGAGCTCGAGAAGAGGTGGCATGACGTTGGGCAGGAAGGGAAGGAACTCCTGGCCGAGGACTCTGCACATGCGGCCCCAGCAGTGCATCAGGTACTGCGCTTGAGGGTCATCAGGATCGGTGATGTTTTGCTGGATGGAGGCAAGGAGCTGGACGAGAGTCATAGCATCTTGGCCAAGTCTTTCCTTGCCGACAGCCAGGGCGATCAGTGTAGCGCACTCCATAGCCTTGGCGCGGAGAAGGCGGAACTCCTTGTCGTTCTCTCTCTGCAAAACGCTGACCAACAGAGGCATAAGGGTATCGTAGTACTTAGAGAAAGCAGCCTCAGCAGCGTCGGCGATGGTGGCGATGGTCGACAGAGCCTGCTCCTGGACGTAGCGCTTCTCGTTCTGGAGCAACTGGAAGAGGTGAGACAGGAGCTCGTCGAGGTAAGGCTCCAGAATGGACTTCTCGGCCTCCTCGCAGAAGTTGACGAGGGCAGCAGCGGCGTGCGACTTGACACGAGCCTCGGGAGAGTCAAGGACCGGGATGATGGCCTTGAGAACACGGTCGTAGTAGTCGGTCTGCATCTTGGGCGCGAAATCAGTGCTCATCTGGCCAAGAGCGTTACAACCAGCCCAGCGCACACGGGGGTGCGGGTCCTTGAGCGCAGGAACAACCAAATCGAGAACCTGGCTGAGCTCACCGATCATCAGCTCCCGGCAGCCTTCAGAGATGGCGGAAATGGCCATCAGAGCCGCATGTCTATCTCTCCAGGCCATAGAGGTCATCATGCGGGGAAGCCAGTTGAAGGTCGGTGCCAGGATGGTCTGGCCACCAAGCTTGTTGGCGAGTCTGTCCATGCACTGCTCTCCAGCGACGTGGTTCTGGTCGCTTTCCTCTTGATCCAGCTAGAGAAGTGTCAGTACTCCAATGATGCAAATTCTGGATAGACCAAAAGTATCACTCACATCGTCAGATGACAGCCAATCAGCCGCATCGTCATCGTCCTCGCCAAGGTCAGTCATGAGACTGAGGCACTGTGTGATCATATCGTTTGTGTAGGTCTCGTCCTTGCGGCACAGTGACGGTGCGTAGTCGGCAAAAGTGGCCATCAACTCAAGAGCGTTTTGGCGGCAAAGGTTATCGAGCTCCTTGTCCTGGATAACGGAGATACTGAACTTGACCAAGTTGCCGAAGAGAGGCTTAAACATCTTGGGCGCGGTCTCGGCCATGTCAATGAGAGCGACAAGGGCGCTGCTAAGGTCCTCAGAGTCATGGCTTTCCTTGATAGGCGGCATGATGTTGAGAACATCGGTAATAAGAGGGTAGTACTTGGGCTGCGCCTTCTTTCCCAAGCTCCTGAAGAAGGCCGCAAACGCCTCCATGGCGGCCAGACGCACCTTGATGAAAGTCAGCCGGCTTGATATCGATGGCGAATGGATGGGAATTCTCCTACCTGAACGGAATCGTCCTTGAAACCCTTCTGGAAGGCCTGGATAACCGTGTCCTCGTGCTGCTTCTCAATAATACCCGGAGTTGTGGCAAAGACGCGGAACGCCGTCTCTCTCTTCTCGGCGTCGGGCGCTATGCTAAGCTGGAAGAGACCGCCCAGCAGCTCGGGCCAGGAATCATCTGCCATGGTGTTAGGCTCGGAACGTCCTAAAGCATAAAGCAGAATGTGGGTGTCGACGTACTGTTTTCGGTGTATTGCCTCGCGACTTCAGCGACAGCGTCACTGATCTTGTTTCTCACGGCACGCTGGAAGTCACCACCGAGGCTCTCGAGAAGCTTCTGGCGGATGACGGCAGCCTGGTCCTGAGACAAGGACAAAAACATATCAACCAACTCGCCGCGGTCATTCTTGCGGCTCTTGGAGGCGATTCTTCGGAAAATAACGGCGGCAAAGGAGCGTATCTGGTGAGCAAAGTGGCGCGGT